GGACGACGACAACATCGAAGAGGACTTCAGCAAACAGTTGAAGTAATGATCACTTTGTTTGCTATCACTTGTCATTTGATCTCATTATCAATGGTTTGGTGTTTAGGTCTGAATTGGAGAAGAAGTCCATCGCCTGAAAGGAAGCGTCCGTTTCATTGGTTTATAATTGATAACAAAACTACTAATGAATGCATTGTATTATAAATATAAATATAATTTCTCATTAAAAGCACTAATATTTTGACACATTTTGACCACTGATTGCAATCGACAGCACTGTCCGGTTATACTGTACTGTGACAATGAGCCGGGTATTAATTGGCCAAACAATGACATCCAATTGGTTTCATTGATCTACAAACATATGTGTCATTCAATTGTAGAAATCTTTGGTTGATTTGCTTAGAAATGCATTAAATAGTGAATATTTTATTGAAATGATACCGTATTTATCACTTATGAGTGAAACTAATCCCACATTCAAATGACATTAATATAGAGATCATAGATTGACAACACAATTATGAAACTCGTGTTTAAAGATTAAATCGAAGATTGAATTCGACATTCATTTGTAATTGAAATTTAATGTTATGTTAATTATTTAACTGTTGATACAATTATCATAGGAACTAATGGTTTATTTATTTAAATCGTCGTATGGCTAGAAATTGAAAGTTTGTTTGAATGCAGATCATAAATAAATACAATTTAAATGATTATTACAGTGTATATTCATATCTCATTTAAATATTACTAATGAAAAATAAACTGGGATATGAATATTACGGAAAATATGTAAGTATTTTTAAAAATTCAATTACTGAATTCCAGAATCTGGAACATAATACTAGTACATTAAATTAAATATTATTTTACTAGTTAGAGTTTTAATTTTTAAAAATTAATAACTTATAAATCGTAAATGAAAGTGTGGCACAAATTGTAATTTGTACAAAACTTATTTTAGGTAATAAATGGTGCATGGCAAATGCAGTAGAAATCTTATAACTTAATAAAATGCTAGAATTGAAGTGGATTGTAACAAATTTATTAATTCTTAATCTATACATGTGTTTGTTTTTTATAGCTACATAATGACCAGGATACACAAATTTATTTCAGTTTAATTGGGTATAAATTTAATTAATAAATGAGTATAATAACTTTTTGTGATAGATCCCGGTACAATAATTATTTTATAAAAATTTAATAACAAAAATTATACCGGTATTAAGAATAAACTATTTATAACTTGTGTTAAACTCGAAATAACTTTTAATCAATTATAATAAGTTTAAAATTTGATGTAAAACACAAAATTTAGTTCATTTAACATTATTTATCGCTAAATTTCATAAAAACATTTCTCATTGTTCTTCACTAAATCTGATAAACAATTTATAAGATTTTATTTCACATTACATTATTCATTACATTATAATCTTTATGTCATTTTCTATAAATAGAGTTCAGAATTGAATACA